TTAACCTTAGTATCCTACCTTTTGTTAAAAGTTTACCTTAGTGTCCTACCTTGAGTCGGGTAATCGTGATCTATCTCAGTGAATTAACTTGTTGACTGTCGTATCACGTGACAGATGACAGAAGGCGGGTCCGGTGACAGATGACAGAAGGCGGGTCTGGGTTATTACAACATGCTGGGTCGGGTTTCAGTCGTCCTCCATTATGCTGGACTAACTGTGGGCGCTTTGACCTCAGTGCTGAGTTTGGTCGTTATGTGAGGCCTTGAACAGAGTTAGTTTGCTGGTTGGTATTGATTGCCCTGGGGCTCCAACTCTACCGTGGGGCACCAACTCTACCGTGGGGCACCAACTCTACCGTGGGGCACCAACTCTACCGTGGGTCAACTCTACCGTGGGGCACCAACTCTACCGTGGGGCACCAACTCTACCGTGGGTCAACTCTACCGTGGGGCACCAACTCTACCGTGGGCACCAATTCTACCGTAGGGCACCAACTCTACAGTGGGCCACCAACTCTACCGTGGGGCACCAACTCTACCGTGGGCACCAATTCTACCGTAGGGCACCAACTCTACCGTGGGGCACCAACTCTACCATGGGGCACCAACTCTACCGTGGGGCACCAACTCTACCGTAGGGCACCAACTCTACCGTAGGGCACCAACTCTACCGTGGGGCACCAACTCTACCGTGGGCACCAATTCTACCGCAGGGCACCAACTCTACCGTGGGGCACCAACTCTACCGTGGACGGGGATGCTGCAGGCCTTGACCTTGCTAAACTATAACCCCCCCCCCAGCAGGTCACATACTCTCCACCCCTACCGGCTTGAGTGACGTCACAAGACAAGAGCGGGGCTCCTCCCACGGAGAGAGAAAAGAAAAGTTTTGAATACAAACATTTTTTGGACTAATTACTTAAAAGCTTAGGGTGGTGGTAGTGGTGGGAGGGGGGGGGGGGTCTTTACGATCAAATGTGATGTCTGTTTTCTAAATACAGAGATTTTTGGTAATTAATTCAAGGCCCCCCCCCAAAGATTGAGATCCCTGTTGATAAAAAAGGCCCCCAAAGATTGAGATCCCCTCTTAAACTCAAGGTCTCCAAAGATTGAGATCCCTGTTGATAAACTCAAGGTCCCAAAGATTGAGATGCCTGTTGATAAACTCAAAATTCCCAAAGATTGAGATCCCTGTTGATAAACTCAAGGTCTCCAAAGATTGAGATCCCTGTTGATAAACTCAAGGTCTCCAAAGATTGAGATCCCTGTTGATAAACTCAAGGTCCCCAAAGATTGAGATCCCTGTTGATAAACTCAAGGTCTCCAAAGATTGAGATCCCTGTTGATAAACTCAAGGTCCCCAAAGATTGAGATCCCTGTTGATAAACTCAAGGTCCCCAAAGATTGAGATCCCTGTTGATAAACTCAAGGTCCCCAAAGATTGAGATCCCTGTTGATAAACTCAAGGTCCCCAAAGATTGAGATCCCTGTTGATAAACTCAAGGCCCCCAAAGATTGAGATCCCTGTTGATAAACTCAAAATTCCCAAAGATTGAGATCCCTGTTGATAAACTCAAGGCCCCCACAGAATGAGATCCCCTGAGTGAACTAGCACCATAGACCGATGTGTCTGAATTGAGAGAGTTGAACCAAAATGTTACACCCGTCTGCCGCTACCAGCACTTAACATTTTTCAAACACTGGAACCATTAAACCAGGTCTGTGTATAGCACCAGCGCAAATGTTTTTACTCCAGTTAATACTCCCAGATTTTTTCTACCTAAAAAAACGTTTTTACACCTTTTTAACACCCCTTCTTTACTTCACAAAAAAACATTGTGCATCATTTTAACACTCTTTCCTCAACCAACATTTTTACAGCATCCCCCCCCCCACCCTTCTCGTCCTCCCGTCCTGTCTATTGTACTCTACCCCCCCCCCCCCCACCAACACGGTCTACCTGCCATCATTAACAAGAACTACTACTTTAGCCCCCCCCCCCCTTTCGCAACCACTTCCAGCTTGTTCATAGAGAAAAGTGTTCAGATTTTTAAACTGAGCTGAAATGGGTGTGGGTACAAAATGTATAGGTAACAAAATGTGTGGGTAACAAAATGTGTGGGTACAAAATGTGTGGGTAAGAAAATGTGTGGGTAAGAAAATGTGTGGGTAAGAAAATGTGTGGGTAAAATGTGTGGGTAAGAAAATGTGTGGGTAAGAAAATGTGTGGGTAACAAAATGTGTGGGTAACAAAATGTGTGGGTAACAAAATGTGTGGGTAAGAAAATGTGAGGGTAACAAAAGGTATAGCTAAGGAGAAAATGCGAAGGTAGACAATAACGGTCAAAGACGGACATGGACAGACAAGAAAGGAAGACGTCAACTACCAAGGGCAGATAAAGCCAACAATAGAGTCACTTTCACAGTCCAGTAACCTTACCTGTGCCAGTGGCGTAGGCAGGGGGGGGGGGTTAGGGGGGGGGTCATACCCCCCCCCCCCCCCCGCATAGACTCCTCGGTATATATATAAAGTATGTGGGGGGGGGGGTGCAAATCAAAATCAAAAGTTTGAGGGGGGGGGGGTGCAAATAAAAAGTTTGTCCCCGGGTAAAAATTTGAATCCCCCCCCCCGACGTGAGACGACCCTGGCTACGCTACTGACTCTAATATCTTAATCATATGTGTCCTGTCCGTCTTCTGTGTACCTGTCTTTATTCTATGTGTACCTGTCTATGTCTGTGTACTAGTATGTACTTCTAACCACCTAGCCAGACCATCACGTGACTGTAAACACCCTCTAATGTCAACGTAACCCACCCACGTGATCTCGATGCTGACCAATCAAAGCTATCTTTACCTTTGTTCTTCCGTCTACTCTCCTATGATAGAAAAGTACATCGCCTCCAGTTAATGGCCTTTGTCTCAAAAGTTTAATTTCATATTTTTGAAAACCTTAACGAGATTTATCAAATGATTTTTTGATTACATAAAAAAAAGTTTAGAATGTTGACCGAGATCGAGTTATATCGGCAGTTATTGGCCTTTATATCGGCAGTTATTGGCCTTTATATCGGCAGTTATTGGCCTTTATATCGGCAGTTATTGGCCTTTATATCGGCAGTTATTGGCCTTTATATCGGCAGTTATTGGCCTTTATATCGGCAGTTATTGGCCTTTATATCGGCAGTTATTGGCCTTTTGTTTCTAGGGGAGGGAAGTAGGAAATCCACAGCTAGACATTCTAGTTCAGACGGTTTTAATTGCCCGGAATTTGGTCTATATTCGATTTGTTTTTTAAAACAACATATTTACTTACAAACATAGGTTTTTTACTTTCTTGTATACGGAGTAGACCTATAGAGGAAATAGATGAAATATTGTAATCGTGCAAAAAGTCGAAATCGAGACTTTGACAACTGTAGACGTTCATTAAACGCTACAATTATCGGTACAACAGTTCTTAAAAGTCGGGGAATGGTAAAGGCAGGTCATTAACAGACAATGTGAATACACGTCAGACGGCCACGTCCAACATACGTGACGGACACGTCCAACATACGTGACGGACACGTCCAACATACGTGTCAGACCAACACGTCCAACATACGTGACGGACACGTCCAACAAACATGACGGACACGTCCAACATACGTGACGGACACGTCCAACATACGTGACGGACAAACACGTCCAACATACATGACGGACACGTCCTACATACGTGACGGACACGTCCAGCATACGTGACAGACACGTCCAACTAACGTGACAGACACGTCCAACTAACTTGACAGACACGTCCAACATACGTGACAGACACGTCCAACATACGTGACAGACACGTCCAACATACGTGACGGACATGTCCAACATACGTGACGGGCACGTCCAACATACGTGTCAGACAACCACGTACGACATACGTGTCAGACCAACACGCCCACCAGTCGTACCATAATTGTACCGCGCAAGTTGAATAAGATTCCAGGAATAACTAACCCCCGAGGCACGATGATCTGTTTCGATTAAAATCGATGTTAATTGCTAATCCGTTCTGTTATTCGCGTTAAAGTCGGTGGCCTCAGGGGAGGTAACGATCTTAACTAGCTGTGGCATTAAGACACACACAGTTAATGCCCTTGCCGAGCAATTGGACACAGGAAATGGCTGAGACAAATTAGCGGAAGTTTGTCCTAGTCAACACGAACATGGACAAGACAAATTAACAAATCAATAACAAATCAATAACAAACAAATCAATAACAAATCAATAACAAATCAATAACAAATCGACGAAAACAATATAACTGGCTGTCTCGGGTGGGTAGAGTTCTGCTAGTTGCTGACATCTATGACGTAATTAATCTGTCATGACATGTCATGTTGTCAGTTAAACCCTGGGGACATTCCAGGTGACGTCATGGACTGTGTGGGTGGGGAAACGGGAAGCGTTGAAGAAATCCTTGAAGTATAGTGTCTCAAGTGTGTCTAGATGTGTCAAATGTGTCTCAATTGTGTCTAGATGTTAGAAATGTGTCTGTGTCTACGAATGTGTCAAATGTATCCTAGGTTGTACTAAAAATAGTTTAAAAAAAAACATTTGTTCAGACTGAAAAAAAAAGAACACTTAATTATTACATCTTCTATAAGTAAAGACAAAATCAGTGAAGAATTATAAGAAGATTGATTTTAATAAGATTAAAATCGTCTTTTTTTTATTAATTGATACTTTAGAAGAATAAAATCGTCATATTTTGATAATTATTTGATGATTTTAATACGAAAATAGGATGATTGTTGAATGATTATTTGATGATTCTAACTAAAAGTGTCATTTAGAATGATTATTTGATGATTTTAACATAAAATTAACTTAAAGATTTGATGAAAACTGACACTGTCACGACACATCACTCGGTTTGGTTTAATTAGATACGTCATCAACCTCTCACACTGGCGCTCATTAGTAATGGCGATGTATAGTAATAAAACTATAACTCTAACGATAACTCTAACAATAACTCTAACCATAACTCTAACGATAACTCTAACAATAACTCTAACGATAACTCTGACAAAAACTCTAACAAAAACTCTAACGATAACTCTAACAATAACTCTAACAATAACTCTAACGATAACTCTAACAATAACTAACGATAACTCTAACAATAACTCTAACGATAACTCTAACAATAACTCAAACAATAACCCTAACGATAACTCTAACAATAACTCTAACAATAACTCTAACGATAACTCTAACAATAACTCTAACGATAACTCTAACAATAACTCTAACAATAATTCTAACGATAACTCTAACAATAACTAACGATAACTCTAACAATAACTCTAACGATAACTCTAACAATAACTCTAACAATAACTCTAACGATAACTCTAACAATAACTCTAACGATAACTCTAACAATAACTCTAACAATAACTCTAACAATAACTCTAACAATAACTCTAACGATAACTCTAACAATAACTCTAACGATAACTCTAACAATAACTCTAACGATAACTCTAACGATAACTCTAACAAAAACTCTAACTATAACTCAAACAATAACTCTAACGATAACTCTAACGATAACGAATAATAACTTGAGTTCCATGAGGGACCAGCCCTCTGACATTACAGGAGAGTTACGAGAGAGCAGGGGCAATAAGCCTGAGTGAGAAATGATCTAAATACTTCACGGACGGGAGCTGAAAGATTATCTTTCTCTGTGGCTGGTGGCTTCTCACATTCAGATACTGAGGCGGGGCTTTCAAACGGTCGCTATCTGCAGATAGCGTCTAGACTTGCGTGAGCATCTACTCATAAACTGATGACGTCATCCCGCCAGTCTAGAAAGCCGTGGTTTTATCTCAGCCCACTGAGAAATGTTCCATTATCGGGTAATTTGTACATAACATTTGAATGCTAGAAATTCTAAACGATAAACACGTGCCACGCGATCCTTATTTCTTCTTCTTCTTCTTTTTCCCGCCCTTTTTGCCTGATTTGGATTTGGATTTGCCAGATTTAGATTTGCCAGATTTTTTCCCGCCACTTTTTCCTTTCTTGGAGGGGCTGCCACTTCTGCTACTGCCGGCAGACTTTGCCCCGCGTTTCCCGCCATTTTCGTCATCCTTCATGTATTCTTTGAGAACCGTCTCGACCTTTTGACCTTGGCAATTTTTCTGGAATAGAAATGAAGTCAACTGTTGACTGCAAATACCTTTAGGAAAAGAAAGTTAGATAGCAGAACGCGCTATTTTGTTAAACATTGTTTGAAGACGATTGGCAGACTTCATGAAAAGATTTTAGATAGCTCCAATACTTTGTCAAAAGTACTTTAGATGCACATGTATTTGAAGAACAGACAACTGGCATACTTTTGGTTGAAAACAGCAGATGTTGATGAATGAATGACATGCGCGAAAACTCAAAATGACATTCTAAAATAGCAGAGCTGACAAATTCAGGTTGTCTATCCTGATACACCTCTTTTCGTCATGGGTAATCTCCCCCTGACTGGGTAATCTCCCCCTGTCGAGGTAATCTCCCCCTGTCTGAGTCTATTTGACCTCACCTGGTTGCACTTGGCGCAGATCACAGCCTCCCTCATCTGTCCCGTGAACTCACCCTTCAGGCACTCCCTGCAGTAGCGCGTGCCGCACCATTTACACATGAACGTCTGAAAGACAAGATTTACACAACCTGAATGTCTGAAACAGGACAAGATTTACACAACATCATCGTCAGCTGGACAGGATTTACACAACATCATCGTCAGCTGGACAAGATTTACACAACATGAACGTCTGAAACAGGACAAGATTTACAGCGCATGAACGTCTGAAAGACAAGATTTACACAACATGAACGTCTGAAACAGGACAAGATTTACAGCGCATGAACGTCTGAAAGACAAGATTTACACTACATGAACGTCTGAAACAGGACAAGATTTACAGCATATGAACGTCTGAAAAAAGACACAAAACGATGTTTTCCAATCTCTATGTGTCATCTGAAATATTTGCCTTATTCTACTACTTAACTCCCTTTGATCTCCAACACTGGATCAGCCCAATATCAGTCTGGAAGCTTCTATATACAATTTCCTTCTCCCATAAACAGTACTGTGGGTAGGGGAGGTCACTCTAACACTGTTTACTGTGGGTAGGGGGAGATCACTCTAACACTGTTTACTGTGGGTAGGGGGAGATCACTCCAACACTGTTTACTGTGGGTAGGGTGAGATCACTCGAACACTGTTTACTGTGGGTAGGGGGAGATCACTCTAACACTGTTTACTGTGGGTAGGGGGAGATCACTCCAACACTGTTTACTGTGGGTAGGGTGAGATCACTCGAACACTGTTTACTGTGGGTAGGGGGAGATCACTCCAACACTGTTTACTGTGGGTAGGGTGAGATCACTCGAACACTGTTTACTGTGGGTAGGGGGAGATCACTCCAACACTGTTTACTGTGGGTAAGGGGAGATCACTCTAATCAATCTAACACTGTTTACTGTGGGTAAGGGGAAATCACTCTAATCACTCTAACACTCTTTACTGTGGGTAAGGGGAAATCACTCTAATCACTCTAACACTGTTTACTGTGGGTAGGGGGAGATCACTCAAATAACTCGAACACTGTTTACTGTGGGTAGGGGAGATCACTCTAACACTGTTTACTGTGGGTAGGGGGAGATCACTCTAATACTGTTTACTGTGGGTAGGGGGAGATCACTCCAACACTGTTTACTGTGGGTAGGGGGAGATCACTCTAACACTGTTTACTGTGGGTAGGGGGAGATCACTCTAATACTGTTTACTGTGGGTAGGGGGAGATCACTCTAATACTGTTTACTGTGGGTAGGGGGAGATTACTCTAACACTGCTTACTGTGGGTAGGGGGAGATCACTCCAACACTGTTTACTGTGGGTAGGGGGAGATCACTCTAATACTGTTTACTGTGGGTAAGGGGAAATCACTCTAATCACTCTAACACTCTTTACTGTGGGTAAGGGGAAATCACTCTAATCACTCTAACACTGTTTACTGTGGGTAGGGGGAGACCACTCTAACACTGTTTACTGTGGGTAGGGGAGATCACTCGAACACTGTTTACTGTGGGTAAGGGGAGATCACTCGAACACTGTTTACTGTGGGACCCACTCAGCTGTTGGTAGTGGCTCGCAACACAGTTCACACTCGTTACACGTTGAACTTATAGGACCTTGACCTCACCAAACATTGACCTTACTTGACCTTGACATTACCTAGCCTTGACCTCATTTCACCTTGAACTTACCGAGTTGAAAGCTTCACATCCCCAGCGACACATGTCTGGTAGCTGTGACCTTCAACTGTCACCGTCAACTGTCACCTTCAACTGCCAGTGACAACTGCCAGTGTCACATTCAGCTGTCGAGTCTTTGACTCTAACTGTAATAAACCTTGCTCATTAACCTCTGAACCTGTATAGGGGTGCATATAACAGAAGGGTGTATACGGGTGCATATAACAGAAGGGTGTACACGGGTGCATATAACAGAAGGGTGTATAGGGGTGCATATAATAGAAGGGTGTATAGGGGTGCATATAACACAATGGTGTATAGGGGTGCATCTAACAGAAGGCATGTAGGCAGTGTTTCTTCCAGACTTTTTTCTCCGGGGGGGGCACTTGAAATTTTCGGGGGGGGGGGGGCGGTAGACTTTCTTCGGGGGGGGGGGGGGCGGACACTGTTAAAAGTATATATTTTCTATATAAATTATATAAATTTCATTTCGTTCGGGGGGGGGGGCGGTCAAATTTTTTCGGGGGGGGGGGCTTTGCCCCGAAGAGATGCCTGGAAGAAACTCTGCACGTAGGCTGGTATTTTTATTTGTAAGACAATTCCTGATATATGTACCGAAAGTTCCCATGTAAGAAAGGCGAATTTGTATTAGCCAACAGTTTACATATACAGTAATTTGTTATGTACTAACTTTAGATGTACTTTACACTTTACATGTACAGTAATTTGTTATGTCCTTAAGTTCACATGTACCATGTTATGTACCATGTTTAAATGTACAGTAATCTGTTATTTTTTATTTGTCCCGACAAGTTTGGTCTCGACAAAAAAACTAAAAGTTTACAGTAAAATTTCAATAATCAAATTGGTTTAACGGACAAAAAGATTTACAGTACCAAAGTACAAAAATACTTTCGGAGAAATTTTACAAAGCCATTTTCAGTTGAGAAAATTGGACGCTAAAAACGGGAATTGTATTGAATAATCAATAACCCAAACTGGCAACAAATAAGTTCATAGCGGATGTGCCAGGAGCTTGTCAGAGCTGATACATCAAAATGGATTAAATTTTACCCGCTGTTGGAGCAGAATTGTGAGGGAGGGTGTGGGGTGTGGTAGTGTGGACCACACACACAGATCATTATAATCCTGACTATCATTACTTTACTAACTCTATTTGATTGGGTTTTAAAAAAAATTAACTTCATTACGGATTAGTTTCAGTTGGATATTTTTATAAAATCGTCTACCATCTTTTACCCGTGTACTTGCAACAGTTGTCTGCCCATGTCACTCTGTCATTGTTGGTCGTGTTACTTCCCCTGGTTGTGATCCACATCACTGGTAAAGTTCCCTTTTCAAACCTGAGGATCTATGGGGCAAGTCAAGTGGAGTTCACTTGTTTCTGTGACCTCGACATATGAAGAGATAGTGTGGTCAGCACTATGCTTAGCCGCCTTTACTTTCCCTAACGTGAGTTAGGTACCCTTCAGAGCTGGGTAGACTCAGGGACGGTCTACTGACTTATCACTAGTTAACATATCTAATATCTACCTATACAAAGCTGTTCTATGCACGTATACAGTCGTGTTCCGCCCTTGTATTGGCTTTAGCTGCCCCATTCTGCCCTTTATATATCAGTGTATAAAAATGCGCCCTGTCATTTTGTCATATCGTTTTATGCACAGATGTGGTGTACAGGTGTTAAGTATGTGTGAACCCTGAGCAACATGACATTTGTGACATGACATTTGTGACATGACATTTGTGACATGACATTTGTGACATGACATTTGTGACATGACATTTGTGACATGACATTTGTGACATGACATTTGTGACATGACATTTGTGACATGACATTAGTCACATGACATTAGTGACATGACATTAGTGACTTGACATTAATGACATGAGATAAATGACGTGCCACGAAGACATGCTATGAGAGACATGCCATTAGTGACATGCCATTGCTGAAATGACACTTGTCATTTGGCTTGACTGGCATGAGATAAAAACACCAGGAAGTCTGGGGCGGCTATTTTTAGAACAAATATGGCGGTGACACCGTTCAAAAAAATCTGTGTGTTGGTCAGACGGAGCTGTCTCGCAATTAGTGACGTCAATTATAATAGAAAAGGGAAGTGACGTCAACATGTCTAAAAATTAAATTAAAATTAAGCGAATTAAGTGCTGCAGTTAAATTCTCTAGAATTAGACATTAGCACGACCTTCGCTGGTCTAAAACTGGAATAGACATGTCATACGATTGGGCTAATCACGTCATACATCACGGCTCAGCCTGACATCAACTTGTCATTTATCAGGTCATATCCTGACACCTGTGTCCTACATTTGCGCTAATCATCATCTTTGTGTGGATGATAAACTCAACAAAACATCCCGGTCATCAGGGTACACATACAAGTACTCACTCACCAAAGTACAATAGATTTTATCCTAGGGACTGTAGGAGAGACTACAACAGATTTTATCCTAGGGACTGTAGGAGAGACTACAACAGACTTTATCCTAGGGACTGTTGGAGAGACTACAACAGATTTTATCCTAGGGACTGTAGGAGAGACTACAACAGATTTTATCCTAGGGACTGTATTCATTTAGTTTGATGAAGTTTTGCGATGGTTTAGCTACATGGTATGATAGGTTCGCGTTCTTTAAGTCTGGAACAACGGCATTGGGTCTATCAGCAGACAACTCTATCTTTTGGTGAAGTTATCGTCTGCTCGAGTTAAAAGGTGGGTGTCTGTTGGTATATCAAACCAGCAGACGTCAACAAACCAGCAGACGTCAACAGACGTCAACAAACCAGCAGACGTCAACAAACCAACAGACGTCAACAGACGTCAACAGACCAGCAGACATCAATAAACTAGCAGACGTCAACAGACGTCAACAAACCAGCAGACGTCAACAGACGTCAACAAACCAGCAGACGTCAACAGACGTCAACAAACCAGCAGACGTCAACAGACGTCAACAAACCAGCAGACGTCAACAGACGTCAACAAACCAGCAGACGTCAGCTAACGGTTTATGTGCAGCAAATAACGTAGCAGACGGCACTTAACTAAAATGTTTTCATCTGTTTTATATCGAGTTTACTTTCGTTGGCTTATATCATGCACAACAATAACCTGCTATCTACCCTGTTTAAATGTACAGTAATCTGCTGTTTTATCCGCACAACAACTTTGCTCGCGGCTATAAAAACGAAAGTTTACAGTAAAATTTCCTTAATCAAATTGGGTTTTAGCGGATAATAAAATTTATAGCACAATATCTACAAAATATGGTTGTGTTTTTATCCATTCATAGGTTAGACGTAAACATGTGTTTAAATACCTTATTTATATTATCAATGACTAGCCCAAAATATGTGTTTAAATACCTTATTTATATCATCAATGACTAGCCCAAAATATGTGTTTAAACACCTTATTTATATGATCAATGACTAGCCAAAACACGTTGTATTTATCGCTATCGACTCGCCGATTACGTGTATTTTATTCCTACCTTTTATCCCGTGTTACCCTCGTACCAAATGCTCACAACTTGCTCAACTCGCCTGCGTCAACCGCCGAACTTGTATGTGTGCCGTTGCTAAGCGGGGTGTAAGACGTAAACAACATGGCGTCAAGGCGGTAGTTACCTCCCCTTGTGTGCCAGATAACGTCGAGCTATAAATAGATCTATCTACTGGTCTACACTGTTCGATCTGCTTGTCACACGTGACCGCCTGATCTAGGTCAAGGTCACACACATACACACACACACACAACACACAGCACATTAACTCATACCGTAATCAAAATATCAACAATCGCATCTATACAAGAAAGATTCGTTATACAACTAGAATAGAGTTTAAAAAAATCAAATGTCGATTATGATACACAATTCTCCACAAACCTAACATACCATAACTGTCACTCGCTTCATTTGATTTTGATTGTATGAATGTGTGTGTGTGTTTGTGTGTGTTTGTGGGGGGGGGGGGGGTAAGGTGTTTGCGGGGAGTAGTGGAAGGTTTGTGACCATTGTCATAGCCAAAAAATGTGTAGTTGACTAGCCGACACATGTGTAGTTGACTAGCCGACACATGTGTAGTTGACTAGCCGACACATGTGTAGTTGACTAGCCGACACATGTGTAGTTGACTAGCCGACACATGTGTAGTTGACTAGCCGACACATGTGTAGTTGACTAGCCAACACATGTGTAGTTGACTAGCCGACACATGTGTAGTTGACTAGCCGACACACGTGTAGTTGACTAGCCGACACACGTGTAGTTGACTAGCCGACACATGTGTAGTTGACTAGCCGACACATGTGTAGTTGACTAGCCGACACATGTGTAGTTGACTAGCCGACACATGTGTAGTTGACTAGCCGACACATGTGTAGTTGACTAGCCGACACATGTGTAGTTGACTAGCCGACACAAGTGTAGTTGACTAGCCGACACATGTGTAGTTGATTAGCTTTTGAAGAACACACATCTTTGCGTTGCGTCATTAGTCCCCCCCCCCCCACAAGATTACCTTGAACAAATGTCTCCCCCCCCCCCCACCCCCACATTACCCAACCCCCACCCACCCCACCTCACCACGCTACTCTCACTTAGCCAATACGACTTGTTCCTTTTTCTCCTGCTAAGTCTTATCGATCTCCAGATAATACATTAATCCAAGCTATTGATTTTTCTATCGATTTTTCTACCTTCTTACGGTCGTATTTCACGCTTTCAATCGTTCTAATTTTCAAACATTGAGGCACCAATGAATCCAAACATTAAGGTACCAATCAAAACATTAAGGTACCAATCAAAACATTAAGGTACCATTGCACTGCGCAATGTGTCATCAAGATGTGCACTGTGTCATGTGTCATCAAGATGTGCACTGTGTCATGTGTCATCAAGATGTGCACTGTGTCATGCGTCATCAAGATGTGCACTGTGTCATGTGTCATCAAGATGTGCACTGTGTCATGTGTCATCAAGATGTGCACTGTGTCATGTGTCATCAAGATGTGCACTGTGTCATGTGTCATCAAGATGTGCACTGTGTCATGCGTCATCAAGATGTGCACTGTGCCATGTGTCATCAAGATGTACACTGTGTCATGTGTCATCAAGATGTGCACTGTGTCATCAAGATGTGCACTGTGTCATGTGTCATCAAGATGTGCACTGTGTCATGTGTCATCAAGATGTGCACTGTGTCACCAGGAAGTGCACTCCGTCACGAGCTGGATGCCACCAGTGCAATCTCTCAGCAAGGACCGGAAACAGATTATACGTCACATCATACGTCACATCATACGTCACAGCTTTCGTTATATTTGGGTTTTCCCAGTCAGGGGAATTAATCCGTCCAGCAAGGGAATTAATTAAGGAGATGAGGAGAGAGAGAGAGCAACAATAGAAAGCCAGTTCACAGTTACAGACATTCAAATTAGTTTTCTAGAGACAGACGTTTTAAAAAAAATATAAAAAACTACCCAAGGCAAAAAAAAAACCAACAATAAAATACTTAAAAAAAACTTTTTAAAAAACCACGTTTTTCTTGTGGACTAAAAAGTAGAAAATAAATTTTTCTTTTGTGCTTCCTCGAGCTGTGCAGATTCTTGTGATGACTGACAAAAAACGTGGGTACGTTCACCATCAAATTTCCCGACCCACGTTTTTTGTCAGTCATCACAAGAATCTGCACAGCTCGAGGAAGCACAAAAGAAAAATTTATTTTCTACTTTTTAGTCCACAAGAAAAACGTGGTTTTTTAAAAAGTTTTTTTTAAGTATATTATTTTCTCCTTTTTAGTCCGTTGCTACACATGAAAAACGTGGTTTTTAAAAAGTTTCTTATATAGTTTATTTTCTACTTTATCTAATCACTTGATTAAGTATGACTTGACTAAGTGTTTTTAAATACACGGACTAAAAAAATCTTGAGCGACCGATACGCTTTAAACAGAGAAAGGGTGTAATTTACGTTGCTGGCGTGGAGATCTACTCACGAATCACGTGATCAAATCTCCCATAAACAAACAAATAAACGCGAAGCTGAGTTAAGGAAAAACGTGTTTATGTGTATTTTAGCATGCCCAGCGTACCAACCGTGTCACCGTTAACAATGTGTTACCGTGTCCGTTCTCCTTTTTAGTCCGTTGCTACACATAAAAAACGTGGTTTTTTAAAAAGTTTTTTTTAAGTATTTTATTTTCTCCTTTTTAGTCCGTTGCTACACATGAAAAACGTGGTTTTTAAAAAAGTGTTTATAAATACACGGACTAAAAATCTTGAGCGACCAGGATTCGAACCTGGGTTGTCGCGGCCACAACGCGAAGTACTAACCACTATACGATCACGGCCAGCGCGCTCACATCGATTGGGGCCGAAGTAACTGTGTCAATAGGCCTCAAGTCTTGTCGGTATCTTTAGAAATCATGTCCTCAATTTTATGGTCCTTGGGGCGTAATTAAATTAAGCTAATTACGGTCACTAATTGCTAGTTTTTATGATTGCATCTGAAATTGTTAGGCGAAAGTAGCATGCATGCCAAATTTCAGGTCTCTAGAGCAATCAGAAGTGGGCTAATTTTCGATGTCAATTTTAACAACAAACACACAAACGCGAAGCTGAGTTAATAATAAAATACTTAAAAAAAACTTTTTAAAAAACCACGTTTTTCTTGTGGACTAAAAAGTAGAAAATAACTATTTACATACATTTGATGACAAAAAACGTGGGTACGTTCACCATCAAATTTCCCGACCCATCTGCCCGACCCACGTTTTTTGTCATCAAATGTATGTAAATAGTTATTTTCTACTTTTTAGTCCACAAGAAAAACGTGGTTTTTTAAAAAGTTTTTTTTAAGTATTTTATTTTCTCCTTTTTAGTCCGTTGCTACACATGAAAAACGTGGTTTTTAAAAAAGTTTTTTATATAGTTTATTTTCTACTTTATCTAATGACTTGATTAAGTATGAATTGACTAAGTGTTTATAAATACACGGACTAAAAAAATCTTGAGCGACCAGGATTCGAACCTGGGTTGTCGCGGCCACAACGCGAAGTACTAACCACTATACGATCACGGCCAGCGCGCTCACATCGATTGGGGCCGAAGTAACTGTGTCAACAAGCCTCCAGTCTTGTCGGTATCTTTAGAAATCATGTCCTCAATTTTATGGTCCTTTGGGCGTAATTAAATTAAGCTAATTACGGTCTCTAATTGCTAGTTTTTATGATTGCATCTGAAATTGTTAGGCGAAAGTAACCTGCATGCCAAATTTCAGATCTATAGAGCAATCAGAAGTGGGCTAATTTTCGATGTCAATTTTAACAACAAACACATCCACGCGAAGCTGAGTTAATAAAAACGTGTTAAAAACGTGTTAAAAACACGGCTAGTACTAGGCATTGTTTCTTCCAGACTTTTTTTTTCCGGGGGGGGGGGGTACTTGATATTTTCCGGGGGGCGGACAACATTTTTGGGGGGAGTGGACACTGGTAAAGTATATGTTTTCTATAAAAATTTCATTTCGTTCGGTAGACTTTCTTCGGGGGAGAGGGGTGGGGTGGAGCAACCTCCCCCCCCCCCCCCCCCCCCCCGCAAGGGATGCATTGAGCCAGGTGTGTCCACTAATTGGAGACACGCGGCCCGCCGTGACGTTAAAGAACTGGTTACATCAGATGATTTATATCCACAGGGGGCATAATCATTGGGAAAACTTATGAAATATCTGTTTGGACGGTGTTATTTAATACCATATGTTTATTAAGTATGTACACACATACACAATGTTTGAGAAAAACTGATACATAATTAGGTAAAGCACAAACTTTTTAATTGCTTTATTTATTTATTCAAAATAGAAACAGTAAGTTGGCTTTAATTATAATCAAAATAAATATTTTAAAATTTATTTTTGATTAATTTGTAATATAAGGAAGCCCAGAATTGTCACGTCTTTTTAGGGGGGGGGTGTCTTACTTTTTGTGACGCTGCGTTACGATGTGGAGTGGTTAAAAATAGACAAAACAAGCGTGACGTCATTTATTTACACCAGCTCCCACTTGGCCAACAGTTCCTCTGATTAAGTTAATTATCAATGAGAAAGTCATTAAGTTAATTATTAATGAGAGAGTCATTTAGCTGAATATTAATGAGAGAGTCATTTAGTTGAATGTTAATGAGAGTCATTTAGTTAAATATTAATGAAAGAGTCATTTAGCTGAATGTTAACGAAAGTCAAAGGTTAGTTTGTTATGGCCAACAAAGGACGGGCTACTTGAAATAATTGTACCAGAAATGTTTTGTTGTATTAAAGTTGTCTAGATTTTGTTGTTGCTCCAAGGGTTGCATGTACGTGTAGTGTCAGACTATCTAGAGTCTAGACAGATAGTTGATGCATTGGTCTGCTTTAGTTAGGGAATTTTATCAGTTTACACCCCACAGAACTGTAAATGTGTGTTCTCCCCCCCCCCACCCCATCCCACCCCACAGGACTGTTGAAAGTTAAGATGTGTGTTCTCTCTCCCTCCCCCCCCCCACCCCACAGGACTGACTATGTCACCCAGCCCGGTACAAAGTTAAAGTGTGTCTTCTCTCCCCCCCCCCCCCCCCCCCACCCCACAGGACTGACCATGTCACCCAGCCTGGTTCAAGGCCCGTACAAGAAACAACGACCGGACACACGCTGACCCCAGCATGGACGGACCGGAAGTCAACCGGAGCCTGTGCCGGACGGATGACGTGTTGAACGGCACCGGCCTCTACGGCGACCTGTACACCAACTGCTCGGCCAGTGACGTCAACTTGACGGACGCCGTCTGCAAGGATTACCTGAGGGACAGCGCCAACCTTATGATCCTGGACCTCGCCAGGTGAGTCGTGACGTCATGTGAATATGGCTGTGGTGTAAAAGATGTTTTGGGATAGCCTTGTTAACGTAAGTAGGGGAAGGGAAGTAACCGATGAAATACATTTAGCATCTAAAAATAACTGCTTACATCCCCTTTATTTAAAATACTGGGATGTGTCACGATTGCTCCGCCACTTCTTTCTGTTATTTGTTGTCTCAAAATGTCTGAGCATCTCCCCCCCCCCCCCTCATTACCTCCCTAAACTAAAGGCGCTCTCACTTAAATTTTAACTTTATTAAAATTTGACATTGGAGGTTATTTGATCGTTTGAGTTGGTATTGTGAAGTGATGACATCGTGAGGTGGTGACATTTGGAGGTGGTGACATCGGGAGGTGGTGACATTTGGAGGTGGTGACATCGGGAGGTGTTGAGATTGAAATGTGCTTTATTTTTATCTCTCTCATAAATCTTTATGTTCTTATTTTTTTATTTGACCAGCCTCTATATTAAATTAGACCATATATTAAATATGATGGCCGAATTATTTAAGCTGCAATAATTTTTAAAAACCAAAAGAAAATCCACAACAACAAAATACACTAGCAAGAACATTATAATCATTATCAACATCAACAACAAACCGGAAAGATCCACGCAATAAAAACTACCCTCATCCTAATCGTCAAGGGAAGTAATACTGAACACCTAATCAGAAATATAAAAAAATGGATTGTGGTTCCTGCTTCTTAGCCCTTTAGGCTTTATTGAAAGACGGGCATTTTTTTCCCCACGAATTTAAAATACGTTTGTTCGGCATTAAAAAAAAACAAAAAGAAAAAAAAAAAACTTTTTCCTCATCAACATGATTAAGGTTAGTTTAAGATTCCCTCATTAGCATAATTAACGTTAGTTTAAGATTACCTCATTAGCATTATTAACGTTAGTTTAAGATTCCCTCATTAGCATAATTAACGTTAGTTTAAGATTACCTCATTAGCATGATTAACGCTAGTTAAAGATTCCCTCATTAGCATAATTAACGCTAGTTTAAGATTACCTCATTAGCATGATTAACGTTAGTTTAAGATTACCTCATTAGCATGATTAACGTTAGTTTAAAATTCCCTCATTAGCATAATTAACGCTAGTTAAAGATTCCCTCATTAGCATAGCAATGTTTAGCGCCATCATGTTTAACAGGCTGGGTAACATTAATTTTTTTATAAAAACTCTATACGTGACGTAACACTTAACATGACGAGGTCCTGGTTTGTTTAACCTGTCTGTCCTCATTGGTTTAACCTGTCAGTCCTCATTAGTTTAACCTGTGTGTCCTCATTAGTTTAACCTGTCTGTCCTCATTAGTTTAACCTGTGTGTCCTCATTAGTTTAACCTGTGTGTCCTCATTAGTTTAACCTGTGTGTCCTCATTAGTTTAACCTGTGTGTCCTCATTAGTTTAACCTGTCTGTCCTCATTAGTTTAACCTGTGTGCCCTCATTCGTTTAACCTGTGTGTCCTCATTAGTTTAAACTGTGTGTCCTCATTAGTTTAACCTGTCTGTCCTCATTAGTTTAAATTGTCTGTCCTCATTAGTTTAACCTGTCTGTCCTCATTAGTTTAACCTGTCTGTTCTCATTAGTTTAACCTGCCTGTCCTCATTAGTTTAACCTGTGTGTCCTCATTAGTTTAACCTGTCTGTCCTCATTAGTTTAACCTGTGTGTCCTCATTCGTTTAACCTGTGTGTCCTCATTAGTTTAAACTGTGTGTCCTCATTAGTTTAACCTGTCTGTCCTCATTAGTTTAACCTGTCTGTCCTCATTAGTTTAACCTGTCTGTCCTCTTTAGTTAAACCTGCCTGTCCTCATTAGTTTAACCTGTCTGTCCTCATTAGTTTAACCTGTCTGTCCTCATTAGTTTAACCTGTCTGTCCTCATTAGTTTAACCTGTCTGTCCTCATTAGTTTAACCTGTCTGTCCTCATTAGTTTAACCTGTCTGTCCTCATTAGTTTAACCTGTCTGTCCTCATTAGTTTAACCTGTCTGTCCTCATTAGTTTAACCTGTCTGTCCTCATTAGTTTAACCTGTCTGTCCTCATTAGTTTAACCTGTCTGTCCTCATTAGTTTAACCTGTCTGTCCTCATTAGTTTAACCTGTCTGTCCTCATTAGTTTAACCTGTCTGTCCTCATTAGTTTAACCTGTCTGTCCTCATTAGTTTAACCTGTCTGTCCTCATTAGTTTAACCTGTCTGTCCTCATTAGTTTAACCTGTCTGTCCTCATTAGTTTAACCTGTCTGTCCTCATTAGTTTAACCTGTCTGTCCTCATTAGTTTAACCTGTCTGTCCTCATTAGTTTAACCTGTCTGTCCTCATTAGTTTAACCTGTCTGTCCTCATTAGTTTAACCTGTCTGTCCTCATTAGTTTAACCTGTCTGTCCTCATTAGTTTAACCTGTCTGTCCTCATTAGTTTAACCTGTCTGTCCTCATTAGTTTAACCTGTCTGTCCTCATATATTATTCTGTTTGTATTAGCTCAACGTATTTTCTCTTGCTGTTGCAGAACTTATCTGCCGCCTAAAGCCTCTCCTGTATCTTTAATCTCTTCTCGTGTTTTTCATTTCTCGCGAGATTTCATACAGCTACACACACTCTCTGACACACACACACACACACACACACACACACACACACAATCACACACATACTCTCCCTCTCTTCATCCACCCCCGCACCTCATCAGCCAAAAAAATCACACTTTTATCCCGTGTTTTCACACAAAAACTGGATCAAACGAAAACAAATTTTTATATTCGTTAGCGATGTGAGGGGGCTAGATGATATGGGGGAGGGGGGGGGGGGGGGGGGAGGGACGGTGTAAACACAGACAGGACAGCATAGCTCGTGGAGTTACTTAAGCCCCAGTCTAGGCCAACTACAGGCCATAATAGGTCAGCCTAGATCAGGCCAACTACAGGCCATAATAGGTCAGCCTAGATCAGGCCAACTACAGGCCATAATAGGTCAGCCTAGATCAGGCCAACTACAGGCCATAATAGGTCAGCCTAGATCAGGCCAACTACAGGCCATAATAGGTCAGCCTAGATCAGGCCAACTACAGGCCATAATAGGTCAGCCTAGATCAGGCCAACTACAGGCCATAATAGGTCAGCCTAGATCAGACCAACTACAGGCCATAATAGGTCAGCCTAGATCAGGCCAACTACAGGCCATAATAGGTCAGCCTAGATCAGGCCAACTACAGGCCATAATAGGTCAGCCTAGATCAGGCCAACTACAGGCCATAATAGGTCAGCCTAGATCAGGCCAACTACAGGCCATAATAGGTCAGCCTAGATCAGGCCAACTACAGGCCATAATAGGTCAGCCTAGATCAGGCCAACTACAGGCCATAATAGGTCAGCCTAGATCAGGCCAACTACAGGCCATAATAGGTCAGCCTAGATCAGGCCAACTACAGGCCATAATGGGCCAGCCTAGAAAAGTCTATCTATGTGCCAGGCTAGAAAAGTCCATCTATGGGCCAGGCTAGAAAAGGCCATCTATGGGCCAGGCTAGAAAAGTCCATCCATGGGCCAGGCTAGAAAAGTCCATCCATGGGTCTGCTTAAATAAGGCCAACTACTGGGCAACAATGGGTCAGTATAGAATAGACCGACCACGGACCAACCTAGAAAAGACCGACAATGGGCCAGCTTAGAAAAGGCCAACCATGGGTCAGCCTAGAAAGGCCAACTGACCCACCCAACGTTCCCTGGCCTAGTGGCCCAGTGCACTAGAGAAATGAAGGACAGAAGTGGCTATCACGGTAAGGAGATTTAACCACGTGATCCGGTCTTTGATGACTGGCCATTTATTTAAAAACGTCATTCAGTCTAAAAATAGCTTCACTAAACATAGGATGGAAGATGGCGGAATGATTTAATGATAGCTCTACTGAAATTTTAATTTGCTATATGAAGCTTTAAACATAGTCGTGGCATTATGATATTTATGGGCAGGACTCGTTTTATCTTTAAATACACACCTTAAACTTTATAGAGTATAACTCTTTCATTTACATTATGCTTTAATAAACGATATATATATATATATATATATATATATATATATATATATATATATATATATATATATATATATAGCCTATATATATATATATATATATATATATGTATATATATATATAAAAATATAAATATATATATATATATATATATATATATATATAAATATATATATATATATATATATATACATATATATATATATATATATATATATATATATATGTATGTATATATATATATATATACATATATATATATATATATATATATACATATATATATATGTATGTATATATATATATATATACATATATATATATATATATATATATATATATATATATATATATATATATATATATATATATACATATATATATATATATATATATATATATATATATATATATATATATATATATATATATATAAACACTGAATGTCATAAAAATCTCAGCTTAAGACTACAGCAGCAAAAGATCGTTAAAATAAACCAGGAGTGATCTCCCCTAAACTTTCTCGAATATTTTTATATAAAATAACAGGGAATGGGAACTCGGGGTATAGACATGATTTTTAATCCATTTTAAATACTTAAAGTTTTACAAATAGAATAAAATCTCGTAGACAATTTAATTGCACACTAAGTGAACGCCAAATAAAAAAGTGCATACTAGTGCGCAATATTATTAGTACTTTAAAAATTTACATTAGTTTTTTGAGAAATCGGAAGTAGCATAAATTACTACTTCCGGTCAACTGAAATTACTCAAAATTTATCAGAAGGTAGAGAATTAGATCTTTTACTTACATGTGAAATTTCATTTATCTATCTGAAATAGTACTTAAGTTATAGGCTTTTGAAAAATTCAAAGTAGGAAAAGTACCACTTCCGGTTATTGGAAATCGCTCAAAAGTTGATACGGATCTAC